AGCAACTTGCCAATAGAGATGAAGGAAGGTTTCCTAGTAGCACAATAGTGAATCCAAGGGAGCAATGCCAAGCCATAACCACTAGAAGTGGAGCAGTGGTTTCCAGCCCAAGAAAGAAAAATGAAATCACCAATTCGAATAAGGAGAGTGAGCTGAAACAAGAAGATTTTTGAAGTGGGAAATACACTATGCTGAATAGGGGAGAAGAAGAAGAAAACTACAGTAACAAGCAAGAAAAGAAGGGCATGAAGCAGAGATTTGAGCAGGCCTACAAGCCTGTTAATGAAGAGGAGTACAAGAGATTAACTTTTCCAAAAAGAGTATAAGATCCTAGACAAGAAAGGCAATTTGAAAGATTCATAGATGTGTTCAAGAAGCTCCAAATTAATATTTCCTTTGCAGAGGCATTAGAACAAACGCCTTCTTATGCAAAGTTTATGAAAGAGCTCCTATCTAAAAGGAAGAATTTGGATATGGAAAATTGGTACCACTCACTGAAGAGTGCAGTGCCATTTTGTAAAGAAAATTGCCTCAAAAGTTGAAAGATCCAGGGTCATTCAGCATACCATGCTCCATTGGAAACCACACAGTTGGAAAAGCCTTGTGTGACTTGTAACGCCCCAATCCTCCTGATTTAGCTAGCGACCCTTGAATCGTACTTACTTGCTTATTCTGGTTCTTTAGTACCGAAATAATTAGATAAAGGTTAAATTATTTTATTTTGATAGAATATTGATTTATTTCTAAGTTCGGCATTTTAGGATAACTGCGTGCAATATATAGTTTCAATATCGTCCAAGGATTTCTTTGAGTATGTTCAGTTGTACTGTCCGCAATGCCCCTGATAATTTTATCCGGAAAAGTTAAATTTTATCTTATTTAAATTGTCAAATCAAAATTATCTGCCTTCAAAAATGTGAGATTTTGTAATCATTGCTAAGATTTTGTAATCATTCCTTAGCCGTCGAAATTCTGCACGGAATCTCACGAAATCTAGTAAACATTACTATAAAGATTTCCAAATCTAGTATCGGCCACTAGAATTTCATGCAAAAGATTTTTGCCTCCCGATTTGTAGACATAGTTATTCCGGAACATTCTTGTCTTGTCTTCTAAAAGGCCGACATCATGATTACTTTAATCAAATGCTTTTCTTGAAATTTGCACCATGTCAAATGTCCCTTCAAAAGTCAATCTCGTCACATCAAATTCCTCGTCGGCCAATCGCATTGCATGCATTTGCTGCCTAAAATCTAGCCTTTGAAATTTTGTGCAATTCTTGGAATGATCTACTCCAAAACCGTGTGCATGTAGCCTTCACATTCCTCCATGCATTTTGCTTGCCAAATTGTATTTACTTGCAAGTTTGCAAAAAGAATTCACTATTCATGCACAAAAAACCGTGGCACCCTTATTATTCAAATTTCTCACCAAAATTCACTTCCAAATTGTTTCAAATCAATTTTGTGCAGTTTTGGCATTTGAATCTTGTCCCACAAGCCCAAACCGTGCTAGACTTTGTGTGATTTGCATGAAAATGGTTGCTTGCTAGTTTGGATGAGGGATGATTGAATTGATTGTGATGTATGTTTCCACTTGGTTTATAAAGTTTCATGCATGTGGTGCTTTGGGAATTTGTGGTGGACAAGAAAGTGAAAACTATTCACTCTCGATTTTGATGATAAGGAATCCTAAAAGTTGTACTTGAAATTGTGTTAATTTTGATGAAATATGAGTGATAAGGATTGTATAATGATAGGGTGTGTTTGCTGTTTGCACCTGGATTCGTGAGTATCCAGATAAATCATGCATCATGTTCATCGCATTATATAAGGAGTAAAATGGAAAAAAAATCAAGTGCAGCCCTTTTTGATGGAAAGTTTGCCCAAACTAAAAAGATGGTAATTAAAGGTATGGAGATGGTAATTAAGGGTTTGGACATAGTAGTTAATTGATAAAAGTCATTCTTGGAAATATCTCACTATTAGCTACTTAATAGAACCCATCGTGTGAGGACTTAATATTAATAAACCTAAAGAGAGCTAGAACTAAACTAAGTAACCTTGAATTGAATAGGTAATCGGGAATCAATACAAGTAATTAGAAAATAACTAAATGGAAAAACCAGAGGGAAAGAGGAAAATGGAAACACGTTATATCTAAATAGGAAGTAGTATAGTTAATAGCGAGGGAAATGATAAAATGAGCAATGGTGATATAGTAAATTATTATAATGGAATTGGATGAGGAAAATCTGAGTGGGTTTTGTCAAATTACTGAAACTTATGTGTTGTGAAGTAGTGGATGTGTATTGATGGGATTGGAAGCTTGTATGTAACTCCTAAACCTTGTTGTTTAACAAAATTTTGCTGGGTGATAAAGTGAATAATGATTGAGCAGGCCTTGTGAGGGCTTTGATTCTGTGCTTGAATTCCTTGTGATCCAAGATTGAGAAAACATTGGGGAGAGAAAAGAAAATCATGCTCCATGCATCATAACATTTCTTTGGAACGACTTGATGGCATAACAGAGGCACAGCTGTAGGTATTGGAGGTTCGGACCCGAGTAGACCTACGGGGGTGGCGAAAGGGGGAACAGTCGACCTAGATGGTGCAGCAGAGCTCTCTGTGGCCGAGTCGTGATCCTACTTGCAAGCCTTAGCCAAGCCCGACAAGTACTCCACATCCTAGGGTCGTTGAGGTCCATTCCCGAAGAGACCCAGTTTGGGCCCAGCACCAGTTTGGGTGTTTTTGAATAAATGATACAAATTCTTTTCTGTGCAATTGTGATGCAGGGAATAGAGTCCTCCGATCGCCACACGACTTGAATATGAAATTGTAACTCTACACTAAATGTTGGGCAAGTCGCTAGCAGTAGAGTAAGGGATCCCCATGCATACCATGTGCATTAAAATGAAAATTCGAGGGATGGACAGCGAGGAAAGAAACTTGTATTCATGCATTGTGTGCATTATTAGTTTGATGAACCTAGGAATTTTCTATGAGAAGTATGAATCGACTTATATTGTATCGATGTTTGTTTTGAGATTGGATAATGATGTTGTTTGGGTGATGGTGTGAAAAGCCACCTTTCTTGGGGTACGACTATTGGATGTTTGTTTGTGTTTGGAGAACTCACCCCTGTTTGTATATGTTGTTGTACTTTTGTATATGCCTTATACAGATGACCAGCTTCCGAGTGAAGGTATGGATCCTGCCATCTGAGGAGGACATTTGGGTGTTCGACGCGGCAGCACAGCAAAGCATCTTCCATGGAATGGCACGAGTGATTCATGGACAGGATGTCGGACACTCATGGACCACCCACTTTATGGTTGATACCCCCATTGAGCTTGTTTTCTCCATCCCACCTGGAGATTCTCACCTACCTTATCTTGCACTTACAGCTACTCCTTCTCCCATGTTTGTTGATCCCCGCACTCCCAGTTCTAGACCAGTACCTGCACCTGTACCATTCCCTACTGAGGATCCTACTCCACCCCCTGTGGCCACTGAGAGAGATGTCCATATGGCAGAACCCTCAGTGAGGAATGATGATGTACTGCTCCACATGCTCCCTACCTACCCAAACACCTATTCGCCCTTCACTACAGACCATTCGCCACCTCACACTGCTGAATGGATTGAAGAGGACAATGAGGACGCTGCTTCTTCTAGCTCTGCTTCCCTGACATCTTCTGAGGAGTCTGATCCCATTGAGGATTATTCACCTTATGAGTGATGTTTGTTGTTTGTTTTTGTCCTAGTAGGGACTGCTCTTAGGGCGTTTGGTTTACTTATGTTGCTATTCTGTTTGATGGATTGGATTAATGTTTGTTGCTCCTGACACTATCTGAACATTTTAATATTTCTGCCAAACTGATGTTTAAATACCTTGAGGTACCTTTATGTCATGAGTTATGTTTATCCTTATCCCACTGTGTGGTTGAAACTGGGAAGTGAAATGATGATTGTCTATGGAATACGGCATATTAATTGTGTGATTAAAACTCTCTATGAAGAGAGAGCTTATGTTCGTACAAAAAAAAAAAATCCTGCTATTTTTTAGGCGTCACAATTAAGTGGTATCAGAGCAGTTCTGTCTTTGAATTGTTTGAAAGTCCTTCTGACTTGTGTGGTAGTATGTTGTGACTCTGCTATAATAGTAATGATTCTTTAGAAATAACGCGCTTACTTGTATTTCAGAAAGTTATGGCTAGGAGAGTTAGGGATGATGTCATGGAAACTTTATTGGGGAGAGTAGTAGATATCTTAGAAAGGCAGAATGAACCAGTTTCGAATCGTGGATTGTCTGAATTTCCCAAGAATAAACCCTCGCAGTTCCGAGGCGAGTTTAACCCTGATGGTGCTCAACTTTGGATAGAAGAATTGGAGAAAATATATGAGGCAATGGTTTGCACCGAGGAGGAAAAGGTAACCTATGCAGCTTTCATGCTAGTAGGAGAGGCTGAATATTGGTGGTGGATTACTCGCCAACAATTAGAGACGGAAGGAATCATGGTAGAGTGGACCATCTTTCGCCGCCAGTTCCTCGAAAGGTATTTTCCGGAGGACATTCGTAGGAGGAGGGAGTAAGAGTTTTTAACTCTGACTCAAGGACAGATGAGTGTCGGAGAATATGCAGCTAAGTTTGACGAATTGTCAAAATACTGCCCATATTTTGCTCAAGCTGATGATCGGTCTAGGTGTTCTAAGTTTGAAAGCGGACTTCGACCTGATATCAAGCAAGCTATTAGCTGTCAACAAGTCCAACATTTCCCAACCCTGGTAGACAGATGTCGAATATATGAGAATGACACCAAAGCTCGCCAGACTCTATGGAAACAATTTGGTCGTCATCGCCCCGTTCATAGTTTCGGTTCAAAAGGTAAGGAAGTTCAGGAGAGACGTAAGCCGTATTTTATGCCAACGAGGAGTTATTGGAGCGAACCTGTAAAAAGCCAGAGGTCAAGTAGTGGAAGTGTAAGTTGACCACCCTTGATGTGCTACAACTGTGGAGGTCTTCATTTCAAATCTCAATGCCGTCAACACCCTAACCCTTGTCCTAAATGTCAAAGGACGGGCCATCTTGGTCGCTTCTGTAGACAACCTACCTGCAGCAATGACACTATCTCTGTGGGAACAAACTGGAGGAACCCAAGTCAAGGCCAAAGGAATCCCAGTAACCAAAGTGAGGTAAGAAGTCAAAACCCCGTCAAGGTATCTCGAACATCGGTAGGAAGACCTAGTACAAGAGGAAGAGTATTTACAATAAGTGGTGCTGAAGCTGCTCAATCTGAAAACCTAATCGAAGGTACATGCATTCTAAACGGGACATCCCTTAATGTGTTGTTTGATTCAGGCGCCACACATTCCTTTATCTCTGAATCTTGTGTGAGGCGATTGAAATTACCTGTTCTTGTTATGAAATGTGAAATTGTTGTTTCTACCCCAACTAATAATCCCGTAACCACATCCCATGTTCGCTTACATTGTCCAATTCAAATAGAGGGCAAGAGCTTTCTTGTTAATTTGATATGCTTGCCTCTTTCCGACCTGGATGTTATCCTGGGAATGGATTGGCTCTCTGCCAATCATGTCCTTTTAGATTGCCAAGAGAAGACCTTAGTTTTTGATCTTCCTAAACATATTGAATTGAGTCATCCAGAGTCTCGTACTATAAACCAGGTAGGCGTCTTGGTAGATGATGATGGTCTATTTCGAGGTGTTTAAAAGATTTATCGTAAATCCTCATCAAAATTTAAACAAATTAATGTAGTACTAGGGTAACCCTAGATTGTCTCCCATGAACATTAGTTATTAATCTTCATTAAACATGTTGAAGGCATAAATTAAACAAGCAATTAAAATGGGGGGTTTTGTGGTTTCAAATTAAAATAAAGAGCAATGAGCAAATGAGTTTAATTAATTCAAACAATAGAAAACAGCAATCCTTAGTTCATCCACATAGATTCTATCCTCAGTCCACTCAAGATTTAACATTCATCCTCTCTTCCATGAATTAGGTTAATTTAACAAGCAAAAATCAACCTTATGGTCCCAACGAAATTACGCAATTTGTTAGGCTCTAATCTCTCATCCCAAAATTACGCAACCTTAGTATTAAACCTAGGATTAAGCAACCCTTAGTTTAGAATCTCCTTAAAATGAAATTAGGGTTAGTTGAGCAATACCCCCCTCATTCACCATTAATTCAATTCAAGAGACAAGGAAGAAGTAATTCATGAAAGAAAGGAATTATATTATCATTAAATTCAAGGAACTCAAGAACCCATGTGAATTCACTAAGGATTACACAAACTTAGCCCTCCATGGAAATGGGGGTTAAAAACGCAGTTGGGAAATGCAGAAAACTCATTAACATTAACGTAAAGGCAAGAGAAATGAGAAACCAAACCCTAGGTTGGACCCTTGGCTGTCACCCAAGGTTGCCCTAAGCTCTGGAAAATATCTTAAATTGAGTAAAGAAGAGAAAAGGTTCAAAAAGTGTAAGAACTCTCTACCCTAATTTGGTAAAAATCTATTTATACTAAAGCTGGCGCCGCCCAAAGTAATTACTCTCATTCTTTCATAGTAACCACGCGCAGCATCAGTTGAGTTTTTCCTCTCTGGAGTGATTACTATGAATATTCATAGTAGTTACGCGCAACACCTTCAATTTTTGCATGCTCTGGAGTGATTACTTTAAACATTCATAGTAATCACGCGCAGGTTTGGTTGATCCTAGGCTGCTGTAGTTGACACTTTAAGCTTTGAAAGTAATCACTTTGGTCCCTTTGCTGGAAATGGCTTGCTGTAGTTGTCACTATCAATATTGAAAGTAGTTACTTTCACCTCAAATTCCTCAAAATCCAATAATTCTGCAAAATAAGCTTGGGGATTCCTGCCATATTATTCAAATGATCAAAATATGTAAAATAAACTATCTAAATTCATGTAAATTAACAAAAACTAAGAAATCTATATTATTTAGCCTAATTGGAATATTCATCTTATTTACACTATCTAAGTCTATTCTTTTCTATAAAAAGTAATAAATGATGTATAAAAATGTAGTAAAATGTAGATTCATCACAACCCCAAACTTAAACTTTTGCTTGTACTCAAGCAAACCAAAATTCAAGGACTTAAGTAAAAAGGGTTAGACTTATCCAAAAAATTTTCTCAAAATTTTTTTGTTCCAATCTTTCAACTCTAATATGCATTTCCTCCATTTCAAAATCATGGAGTCATTCAACAAAGAAAGCATACTCATATCAATCAATTTTATGCAAAGTCCCATACAAGTGAAACAAAAAGTCAACAAGGTTCATCATACTTCACACAATGCCAAGAAATTATCTGGCTCACAAGGTGGTGTTTCACTCTTCACTCCTCAGTGTTTTAAGATAGGTATTTTCCCTCAATACATGCAGATTGCTCTACCCTACCATATGCTTGCCCATATTCTCAATCTCCTTTGCTTTAATACAATGATTTACCTATCAAAAGGACTTGGTTGGTCACAAATAGGGATAGGTAAGGTTCAATTTGATCAAGGAGGGTCAAAAGCTCAGGTGGGTTTTCAAGATAAGGGAATTCTCTTGAGTGAGTAAATACAACAATTAGAATGAAATGCATCAAATGAGGTAGCCTAAGAGGTTCAAGCATTTTTCACCTTGTTTTTCATCATTTTTCATTATGTGAAGATCTCTTCAATCTCTTGGATCTTGCTTCATTTTATTTTCTTTCCTTTTTCATTCTTTCTTTTATGATTTATTGGACTTTGGCAACCACTTATTTTTTTTGACATGTATTTTAACATGTATATTGTTCACCACCCCAAACTTGAGAGGTTGCTTGTCCTCAAGCAACTACCATCAAATTCAACACCCCAAACTTGGTATTTGCATTCACTCTTGATGTTACTCAAAAGAAATACGTTCTTGATGGAAGGAAAAAAAATGTTTTGGCAAACTAAGTTTTGGCAAAAGAAGAGGATGTAATGAATAAGGTGCAAAGGTGGGCAATGGGGAGTGGTTGTGTGTGTGTAAAGGAGGCCTCAATCATCTAGATAAAAAAAAAATTGCATAATGCATATTAAATTAAGAAGCAGGGCAAGTTCTAGAGAATAGATGCAAAATTACATGAAGCATACACACAGAAAGATAATTAGGGGCTCAATTCTCTACCATGGTAAAAATGGTGATAATTACTTAACATCATGTGAGGATAAATCACCTTGCAAGAAAAGATATTCAGCATGGCATGGAGAGAAAATTATTTACAAAAGTAGAGTGTATTCATGAATTGAATGAAAATTGCAATAAGAGTCTAAGATTGGGATTACAAAATTGGGTTCAATTAAAAGAAAAAGAATAAAAATATATTTTTGTATTTTAATGTATAATTATGCAAGAAAAATGAGGTTAAGAGTATATGAAATAGAGGCAAAGAACTTCACCCCCCTTTCATGAATGATAGTGCCTCAACTCATGGGCAAAAAAAATGATGCTCCTCTTGATGGAACTGAGGGCATTCTCTACACAAAGAGATAATAAATTCAGCACCAGCAGAACAAAATAACTCAAACTCAGATAATATATATAAATAGCATGAAAGAGTTAAGTTGTTGTTCAGAGTAGAAGCAGTAAAGGGAAGTTAAAGGTAGGGAAAATAAAAAGAAAAGTGTACTAATTACAGGGAAATTGGCAGAAAAAATATGTACAATGAAAGATAAGGTTAAATAAATAACAGAAATAAAAGTTTAAGACTATATTGCATCCTCATCAGCACTGGAAGAGAGGTCATCATCATCAGCTGCATCCGTATCAGTGTCCTCATCATCCTGCCCCTCTGCTGCTGCAACTGGGTCTGGTATTGGCTCACCCTCAGAGCTGCTATCTTCCTCTTCCTCTTCCTCTTCTGCTGTAGGTGTGAAAGGTAGAAGATCATTCTGAACTGCTGCTCGAAGATAAGGGGCTGGGAAGGTGGGGGCATAGTAGATCTGGTCAGCAGTCATCCCCATCTTCTTCCCCATGTTGAGTAACATGGTCTCTACAAGGGTCAGAGCAGCCTTCTGACCAACATGTATAGCATCTTGTCGCAGAGCTATTTCCTTCAGCTGGTCATTCATTTTAGAAGGAAGGCCTTTCTTCCCTGCAGCTTGGGGAGGTATCTCTGGGGCTGAGCTCTTCTTAGCTTTAAAAAGCTCCTTCACCATAGTTGTGGTGATGCAGGGAGCTGCTCTGATTTTCTGCTGATACTCCCCAAAGTCAACTTCAGCATCCTGGCAGAGCATAGTAATGATGGAGGGAAAACCCATGGAGTCCTTCTTCCTAGCTAGGATCTCCATGATGGCATTGCTGATAACATCGCCAACATGGATGGGCATCCCTGTCATGATGGCATAAACTAGCTCTGCCCTCTTCACTGCCAAGGTAGATGAGTGCATGACTGGCATGAAGGAGCTAAGGATGAAGATGCTCTAGACTTTGGCAGGTGGAAGGAGGTGCTTTGTAGTTAGGTTCTTGGGCTGGAGCTTCATGTCAAACTCCCAGTTCTCTCCAGCCTTGCTTATTGCTTGAAGGATTGGCTTGTAGTCCTTCTCCTCCAAGTAGCTGAAAATAGTGTAGTCCAGCTGTCCAAGCCTTTTTTCAGGAAGAGGGATGTTGAGGATCCTCTGGATGTTGGCAGGGTTGAAGTCTATCACCTTGCCTCTGACCATGGAATGCCTGTAGGGGAAATCATCTCCCTTAACCCTGAAGGCATTTGCATAGAACTCTTGGGTGATGTCCTTCCACCCATGCCCAGCACATGTGGTGAACAAATCCCACCCCCTTTTCTGGATTTCCTGCTTAAATTGGGGGTAGGTCCCTTTTTGCAGGTCAAAATTCTTGTCCTGCACAATGTGTCGCCTGAGAATATTGGCTTTGAAGAAATTCTCATGGGCCAGGGACCGAAATCTGGGATCATGTGCAGGCTGAGGCCTAGATGAAGAGGCAGTAGCTGTCTTGGCTCTGGGTGCATTCTTTCTGGGAGTGTTTGCCATTAATCTGCACATAGAAAAAGGAATAAATGAGTGACAGTGCATAATTAACCCTGTAGCAAGAATTTCACACCATTTGGAAATGAAGGAGAGAAAATGCAGGCAATTTACAGCATTGCTGCAGCAAAAAGTGGCTAATATGATGAATGAAAGCAGTTACTTTGGCAGTGAAGCATGACAGATTAATTTAATTTCACAGCAAATGTGCAGAAATCATAGTAAATTAAGACAAATCAGAGGGGTTCTGCATGCAAAAGTAACTATTATGCTAGTTGGTAGTAACTACTTTGACAATGAAAGATCAGACAGTTAAACATATGCAGAGTGATCACTATGTGTGAATTATGTCAGTTTTTGCAATATTGAATTGATAAAAGTGACCACTATGTGTTACAGGTAGCTACTATGACAGCAATAACAGTTCCAAAATAAAATTCATAATCCATGTGTTTAAAATGCAGAACAGCAAATGTCATGTAATGAATTATGGTCATCAAAAGAGGTTCATTTGATGGTCTGGAAAATTTAAACACAGTGTGCATTTGGATCCAATAAAATGAGTTCTCAACTTCTGAATCAGGCTGTGAAAATGCAGAGAGCATATATAAAATGCAGAGGACATATATAAAATGCAGAGGATGAATTCCATTAGATCAGCTAAGGTAAAAAGCATGTGCAGCAAGAT